TGTGTTCTTTTAAAAAAAACAAAACAAAAAGGAAAAAACATTAATTAAATATGAAAGTAATCAAGACGTTATGGACATTGCAGGGGTAGTTAGACTGTAATTATCAAGTTGATTATAATAACACTATAACACTCTTTCTTCGTTGAAAATTAATGTAAGAATTAAAAAAAGAAAAGAAAATATACAGGTTCCAACTTGTGACAATAATTAAACGATAGAGAACTAATTTTTATAGCAGTATTCGACTAGCAAGTTTTTTTTCTCTCTTTAAATCAGAAGGATATTACTAGCAAAATAAAAATATAAATATATAAATAAGAGGATAGTTACTATACGAAATTCCGAAGTCGTCCGTAAATTACGCAATGGGAATGATAGAGGGTATTAAATTATTTTTATGTTATAACAAAATTTAAAAAAAAAAAAAGCGAGAGAGATTATTCTCATAAGTGGAAATTATTTATAAATATATATATGTATAGTTAGTTCTCTAAATATTAATTTATATTTATGTTCTCTCTAATAAAATATTAAGTTGCTTTTTTTTAATTTATATATATTTATGTAACAAGAAGTTATTAGTGCTACAATGTCATTAAAAAATTGTATAACTAATACTGTTGTTACGAAACTTCAAGAAATAATTACAAAAAGGAAAGTAAGAAGTAGAGTTACTAACTCGTTTCGTAATTTGGACGGCTAAAAATTTCTTAAATCACACGAACTCGATGATAATCTACTAACATATTTTTTCTTTTCAGCAAAAGGGAAGGCGTTTAAAAAACATATTCATATTTAATAGCAAGTTGTCATTAAATCAAGACAAAATACTTTCTTATATTAGGAAGCAGAGTTTTTACATTAACACAGAATTCGTGTCAACAGTTTATCGTTTTTTAATGAGTACAAGTGATGAATGTATAAAATATAAATATATTTATATTTATATATGTAGAATTCGATGTATGTATGTTTTGTATGTGGAAGTGTGTGTATATTAATTTAATGACAGCTTGCTAAAATAAACTAATCATTTTTACAGCTATAATGAGTATACTTTTTTTCAGCAGAAAGCAACACAGCATATTTTATAAAAAAAAAACAAAAATTCCAACGAATAGAGCCCTTACAAAGTTGTTGTGATATCTCCTGACGCGAATGAACATTATTCAAATATTTGTTCTACCCATTACCGAAATACACAATTTGAAAACCATAATAAAAGGTTTGCAAGTTGAAATAGTTTATGATCCACATTACAAATAATTACTACACATGATACATGAATAATAAAATTATTGTAATGTGGTTAATAAGCGTGTACTCATTGGTTGGAAATATTATTAAGCGTGCATGATAATTACGAGGAAAAATTAAAAAAGATTATTACAATAATTATTTAATAAAGATTTGTATAATTAAAATAATAAGAGATAAGCAAAATTGTTTTGTTATTTTTTCTCAATAATGACGATCTTATGATGAATGTATTTCAGGTGAAAAAGGAATTCATAGCAATGCTACGTGAGCACAAAGACATTGACAGACATTCGCACTGGAGTGACTGTAAGAAAAAATTGGAATCTGATTGGAGGTACAGAGTCGTAGAATCAGCAACCACTAGAGAAGATTGGTTTAGAGACTATATTCGTATTCTGAAGGAGGAAAGGAAAAAGGAAAAGGAGAAAGACAAAGACCACCGCCACAGAGATAAAGACCACCATAAGTCTGAGAAGAAGGACAGGGACCGGAAGGATGTGGATAAGTATAAAGAAAAATCTAAGGATAAATCTGATAAGGATAACAAGGAAAAGAAACAGAGACGAAACGATACCGCTACTGAAGAAAATGGAAAGGAGAAGAAGGAAATTGTTGAGAAGGAAAGTGGAGAGTTGGAAGAATGCGACGAAAAAAATGCTAAAAAAGATAACTATGTAAGTTCTCCTAAAATTACATTTTCTTAAACACTCGAAACAAAGATATGTGCTTTTATTAGATGTTACAAATCTGTGTTTAATTATTATTAATATATATGATTTAATTGTAGAAAGAAGAAGGAGACGATCATTCTGATTCCGAGGAAGATCGTGAGAAACAGAAACGAGAACGTGAAAGAAGAGCAGAAGCTAGTTTAAGAGAAAGAGAGAGAGAGGTACAAAGAACATTAGCTACACATCTTCGTGATCGCGATAAAGAAAGACAGCATCATCGTCATACTGAAGCTGTTCAACATTTCAGCGCGCTTCTTGCTGATTTGGTATGTATTAGAACTATAAAATGCATTTAATTTTAATGTTTGAAAAACATTCCATTCAAATGTATTACTTTTTTGTAATAAAATATTTGAAAATTTAGGTAAGAAATGGTGATCTTGCTTGGCGAGAAGCTAAACGACAATTGAGGAAGGATCATAGATGGGAATTAGCGGAGAGTTTAGATCGCGAGGAAAAAGAAAGATTGTTCAATGAACATATCGAACAACTTGGTCGAAAAAAGCGAGACAAATTTCGTGAGGTTTTAGATGAAGTTGGTGCTTCCACTGAACTCACAGCATCTTGGAGAGACATTAAGAAATTGTTGAAAGATGATCCGAGATATATTAAATTCTCATCCAGTGATCGGGTAAGTTAATAAATAAATAAAGTTTACAAATTGTACAGAAAATATCTATTAATCGCATTTTGTTTTTATTAATAGAAATGTGAAAAAGAATTTAAAGAATATATCAAGGATAAACTTGTTGCTGCTAAGGCAGATTTTAGAGAACTTCTGCAGGTATGCCATGTATTCTACGTTAACGTATCGAATATACTTCATTTCTGTATCAATATGTTTCTAATTATTTATTTAGGAAACTAAATTGATTACCGATAAAACGTATAAAAAGGTGCAAGAAAACAGTGCATGCCTTGCCGAAATTGAAGAGATTTTGAGGAAAGATCGACGTTTTCTTGTATTAGAAGCCGCTGCTGCTGAACGAACGCGGTTATTGATGGGATATTTGGAAGAATTAGCTCGAAGGGGACCACCTCCACCTCCGACAGCTTCGGAACCATCAAGAAGACCAACCACAAAGTAAATATAATTAATTTTTTAAAATAAACCATTTACTCTCTGCAAATATGATATATTATTTTTGTTTCAGTTAAAGCATTTGAATCGGCATGTGTGGAAACATATATGTGGTGCCCAAAATTATTAAATTTATTGCTATAGTTGGATTGAAGTACTTTATCTACAAGGTGATAATCGTATGTAATTATAGGTATCAATAAAAATAACACCAATTCTACACAATTAAACGTGTACTGTGTTATATAAAAAGTACTAAGTTTCGATCTGACTTGTCCATTGAGAACCATTAAAAAAAACAAGAAAAAAAATATGTATTATGAAAATAAATACGTAGGTATTTATTGCATTGTCAGATTTAAGATCTATGAGTGTGTCCGATTAACAATACTTATATAATGCAAAATATATATGCTTTTATAATTCTTTTATATAAATTTTCATGTGCAAAGGTAAAACTATAAAGTTCATGAGATGTGAATTTTCAACTCTCTCTTTCTCTCTCTCTCTCTCTCTCTCTAAGCTGTATTGTGCGTTTGACGATTGTGTAATTGAAGATAATTTATTGATTATGTATATTATCTGATAATTTCAATTAAAGAGAGTTGTATCATAAAAAAGAAAAAGAGAAATTTATGACAATCAGACGAGGTATATTTTTTTAGACGCACGATTATATTAAATATAGAAGATCTTTTAAAAGTTAAGTTATTTGAACAAAATACAGCGCAATAAATGTAAGTATATGATTAAAATCAACAAAAGGAACCGAGTAGAATTACGATAACCTGATGATGCTTTATGATAGTTCATATTCCTCTCCGTACTTGGTGTTATAGGAATGTGTGTGTGTTTACACACTTGACCCCTGTTAAATACGAAGATATCGAGAAGTTTCCACGAACAATTGCTTCTGTATATTAATCATTATCGATGATTTACGTATGAGAAACGTAAAGATGACGAAAATTTATATTAAGTTCATTTAAATATGGTAAACGAAAAATTGTAAAGCGTATATAATACATATTGTAGAGTTGTATCAAGAGTTAGTATATTGTTGTATTTTCTCAGTATACTCAACATAAAAGTCTATACATATTATCACCATGATTTTCATTATATTTTAGTTTAATCCTTCTTTTTTAAGATTTAATTCTTTAGCAATTTCCTTCTTCGATCATTAAGAAGATCCAATAAATCCCTAATTTTTACGCGTTCTTATAGTATTTCAGCAATCAACGTTAATACTGATCTGTCCAAAATTCTTCAAAAGAAAAAAAATTCTATTTCTTATAATCAAAGACTTTTCTTTATATATATCTTTTTTGTTAAAGAGGAAGAGATTAACACATGCTTTTTTATCATGACATTAGATTAAATTTGATCATTCGAGGAAAGATAAAGAAGAAAAAAGAAAATAATGAATGAAAGAGAGAAGGACAAACAGCGAATAATAAGAAAGAACTAAAAAAAAAAAAAAATTTACAATAAAAAAGAAATAAAGAAAGAGATAAAGGATCTCGTTGGCCTCGAGGCGATCTCGTCTAAGACGTGCGGAGCAGCGTTCTGTTGGTGATGATGATAATGATGGTGGTGTGGTATAGTCTCTCTACGACGACAAAGTGAAAGTAAGATTTTGCTTTCTATTCGTTCTCGCACGGAGCAGTGAGGGCTGCACCGTGGTCGCGATCGTGTGTGTTTAGAGAACAATGTGCGCGTTCTCCGTTACGAATACCTGAGAAAACAAAAAGAGAAAAAAAAAACAAGAAGAAAAAACTTTATCCCATTAATAAAGTCGAAATTGAACAGGCAAGTAAACTAGCCAATTGTTGGGGGATGCAATCATGATAGTTACATTAATTTTATATTGAAAACGGGAAGTTGAAAGAGTTCAAAAAAAAGTCTGAAAAAGAATTTAATGGGATTCAAGTTTGGTTGATGAAAATGTCGCAGCACGTAGGAGGAATTCCATCATGCCTCTTCCTCTTCGTAATCTTCTTTCTTGTTGGTACCTATTGTCAACAAGGTAAGCAAATTTCAGAGATTTATATATAATATTTATTTAATTTAATTTAATTTAATTTAATTATAAACTCCACTAATAAAATATATATTCAAACATTTCAATTGATTCAGCCATTGATCTATCGATCCAATTATCCCGTTAAATTAAATACACACATGTACAGGTGTTTTCTTTTTAACAGAATAATTATAAATGGCGTTTGAAGTATGATATTGCGTTAAAAGAAATAGCTATGGAGTTAGGTTTTTTCTCAAGGTTGGGAAAGTCTTAGCGCACATGCATTCTTTATGGTGAATCGAATGAAGAAACGAATAAAGGCAAAAGCGTGAACGAGATCTCTAGCAGCGAAAGTAAATGCATTTAGTATGCGCGTGTATGCGTTAGGTCAGCGTGAAACATACAAATGAGAAGAAGAGAAATAAAAAGAGAATCCAGATTCTGTTAAAGAAAACAAAGGGTTTTAGTTGTGTGAAACACCTTTGGTAATACAAGGAACGATCGACGACCGATCGAAGGACGATCGAAAGGAGAACGGTTACCGTTGTTAACACTCCTGCATATGCACATATATATGTACGAGTATACATAATTTCATTCTTTAAGCTTAGCACGATTCCTCGCTCCTTTTCTGTCTAAAAACCGTTCCGTTATAATTCAACTCCTTGCCTTTTTCTCTTCTCTCTTTCTTTCTTTCTTTGTATTCCAAAGTTGTATTATTAAGTATTCTACTCGCTAGGAAATCAATTTTCTATTCGACCATTTGAGGGGAAGAAAGTCGAGACAAACACATTGCGTGTACAACAAAGATAATTTACTACTCGATCGTGTGCCTACCCTTTTCCAATTTCTTTAATAGTTACACGGTTACATAGTTCGATTACATCGTCCTATTGCAATCGGTACGTTCCGCTTTTGTTATTTATTCCGATATACGCATTGTTTTATTATTACTATTATTACTATTATTACTAACATTATTATTATATATCGTATATAAGTATATAGTGTGTAATAGTAATAACGATACAAGGCCATGGAACAATTTCCCTACAGTTACGAAGGCAAACGAGATTATATCGTATAGGGTGAATCAATTGAACATTTAATTGTTTTTAAATTACGAGGAATTATTTTACATCATTTATTTTACATAGCTTTGATCAATGTTCTTTTGGTTTTCTTTTTTTAATTAAATTAGAGTAATTTACACGATAGAATACATGTAATAGATAAGCACATGCAAGCATTAAAGTCTCTACGTGAGCGTTGAAATCTCCATATCGTTCCGTTCTCTAACATCTGTTTCACGAGTAATGCGGTTGCATTAGAACGGATTTAGGTTTCATCGAAAGAATTCGAGATCGATAGATCGTGCTTCCGTTAAAGAATGCATGAAAAAATAGCGAAATTAATTATTTTACTTGATAGTTGTGTCAATAAAAATTTGATTGGAAACATTTAAATTGTGATAAATATATTTAAAAATATATATCACGTTATTTATTACTTAAACAAAAATTTCTATTATTTCATTACACTTTTAGAAACTTCTCAGGCACGATACAAGTTCTCACAACTCATACCAACTAACTCGGTTTACGAACATCGAGAAAGTGATGTACCTTCCGAATGGAAGAAAAAAAATGATACATCATCGTTGCTTCGTTCGTTGGAAGAAAATAACGTCATGGATACGTCACGGTTGAATTCAAAAGAGAATATTGAAGAAATAGAAGAAGATGAGGAAGAAGAAGAAAGAGAAAAAGAAGAAGATGATGATGATGATGTTGCTGATGAATGTGATTACGAAACTTATGCTAAATCGGAAATTCCTGATCGTATTAAAGACACATCGAAATGTAAGCAACCGATACACGAACATAATCCACTTCCAAATGTCGATAATCTTCATAATTCGAAGAATCAAGAATACGTCGAAGATCATTCGACGAATCAATATGATTCATATTATTATGAGGATTATGATAACAATAATCGATCGCAATACAAAACCATAGGTAAATGTAGATTCAAATTATTATATAATAATTTATACATTGATTTAATTAACATTTACATTTTAATTCTTTATTAATATCTACAGACGCAGAAACCGTCGATTATGCGGAATTCGAAACGCACGATGATACGACTACCGAAAAATCTTTGGCAGGATTAAATAATCATCATGATCAACAAAATGATCATTCTTATTCCGAAGAAGAATATTTATACGAGGACAAAGAAGAGGATGATTCGATTCCTACGACAAACAAAAATGTTAAAGAAGTTACTTCGATGGAGGGTAGCAAGAAAAATTATGCTTTTGCAGAACCACCGAAAGGGTCATCCTTATTTCAGGATGCTGATGAATTAGAGAGTCCGATTTTGATCGGTGAAGCTATTGTATCCGTAGTGACAACAAAAAGTGTAGTTAATGGAACGATTTCTATACCAACTAGTACACCAACGCCAATGACTACCGAACAAGTAGCACCACCACCTTCGCTGACCAAAGACAAATCTAACGATGATCGATTATTAGAAAGTACTACGACTGAGGATTCCAGAGTATTGGCATTTGTACAAACCAGTCGTAGCATATTCGGTGCACGTGTTCTATCATTTCCGGTGGTAGATCAAGTCGTAAGAATAAACAACGAGGCTGCACCCGTAACTCCGATAAAAAAGACATTTCCACCTCCAGAATCAACGGAAAGCATCATCGATAAACTTGACAGAGTGCAATCTGAATTATCAAGTGGTTTTCTCGTTGGTGGCTTTAGGACAGCTGGCAATGCATTGCAGTTGGATGTTTTAAATGACAGAGATCGTACCAATCGTCGTAAATATGTTACATCTACGAGTAATATCAATAGTACTACTACTAATAAAATTCCAATTATTAGTAAATTTGTACCTAGAAGATACAATGACAAGAGGTTTGATCGTACCAACGTCAATAATTCTGAAGGATTTTTAAATGATTCGGATTCCAATGGGATGACTCCTAGCACGGCACGAACGAAGATAGCTTTCAAGTTAGAAAATTATATTAATTTTTATATTTTCTCATTTATTTCGTATGTTTATTACCGTAATAATAATTTCTTTTAGATGGCCATCTGGAAAAACAACGACACCATTAAATTCCGACGAAATAAAGTCTACGACTCAGGCTAGCACAGCTTCAACTAAAAAAATTAACACACAAATCATTTTTCAAGATGTCAAATCTTTCCTACCACCTGGATTTAAATTATCCAAAGAAGATAAACAGGAAGTAACAGAGCGTAGTGTTTTGAGTGATATCTTTGCTAAATCAAAGATCGATGTTTCCAAACTTTTACCACCTGATTATAATAAAAAAAAGAACAATGATGTATTCACGACACAAGTAACAACACCGATTGTCGATTCATCGAACAATTTTACTACAGAAAAAATTTCCATTCAAAATCTCTTTGCCAATGCAAAGTTCGACGTGGCTGCTTTATTACCACGTGATTACAAAGAAAAAGCAACAAATTCATCAGAGACGAAGGGAAGTGAAACTGTTGATTCCAATAATGACAATTCTACTTCAACTAGCTCTGAACCGACCACAGCTAAAGCTGCCGGTGGTTTGAAAATTGTTTTTCCTAGCAGACCAGGTGGACGAAAGCATGGTCATAAAATTACAACTCCTCAGAGTCATCGAGTTGATGGGCTTCCTGCGATTACTCCGCGTATACAGAAAGGATGGCCAACTAGGTAAATATCTATTAATTTATAGGTAAAATTACAATTATCTAAATTGCATGTTCATTTCTAGAGCTACCACTGAATTTACTGGCTGGCCAACTCCATCAACAACGCCTATTTCAATCGAAAAACTCTTGGAGGTTGCAAGAACGGCAACAGATACCTCTGTGAACATGTCAGTCGTCGAAACTACAAGTGCAGTTTCGATAACGTCTACGACAACTACAACAACTACGACACCCAGATCAACGACTATTGGAATATGCGAGGAAGAGTGTGAAGTTGCTGGTACTATACGAATAATTGGTAGTACAACTTGGGTCCCTGAATTACTGGATCGTAACACTCAAGAATGGCAGCAACTTGCTAACGAAATTGAAAGAGATGTAAATTTTAATTAATCACCTTCGTCTGTAAAATAATGTGTATGCCAATATTTTTGTATAACTTTGATATCTTTTTTTAGATGAATTTCGTTTTCTCAAAGTCTACCGTTTTAATGAATTGGTACAAGAAGATAAGAATCGATTCGTTCAGGTATATAATCATAAATATAAATCTTAAAAAGCATATTTAATTTTAATTAAAATAATTTGTCTAATTCTTCAGTCCAGGTAGTATTCTAGTAGACTTTTTCATTGAACTCATAAACCTACCACAAAGGATCAATACGCAAGAATTGAAAGTAATATTTCATGATTCTTTGAGAACATATAATTCGAGTCGTTGGAATGAGACTAAAATGAAAGGAGATATGAAGTTGGGTGCATTTACGATTGATCCTAAATCTACTGATTTTGTAGGTAAGTGAAGTATCAGGTATAATTCTTATACAAGTTGTTACATTGCATTATTTTTTGTTTTAGTAATACCTAAAGTTCCTTTCTCTAATATTATTGAAAACGAGGATAGATTAATACCTCAGTGGGCAGTCGTTATGATAGTTATTGGTATTGGAGGATTATTATTCATTATCATTTTCGGTGTTTCTGTGGTAAATATAATAATTAATTAATAATTTAATATAACAATTATTTCAAAGTTCATTATATGATAAAAGTAATCTTGAAAATTTTAGTTGGTAAATCGTCAAAATGGTTCAAAATTGAAACCTACTGTGTCTACAATTTATGAAGATGGAATTAGGAAAAATATACTGGGAGGTTCGCATGCAACCTCGTTGAACAGATCTAACGATTACCCGAAACAAGTACATACTATATGGACTGATCCAGATGTATCGTGGAACGATAAATCATTTGAATCTGCATCTAGCAAGGTATACTTATAAAATTATTTTCATGTAAAATATATTGTGCACGTAAACATGTATGTAATGAGTGTTGTCTGTCATCAGGAGCACATCAGCGGCAAAGTTAATTTACAGACTTGACCACTAGATGAGGTTCCATGACATGAGTCGATAAAGAGATCTACATATTTTTCGCAAAGATAATTGTTTAAGTAATTATTTTTTTTTTATATGTTTTACAGGTATTAGTCGATAGATCATTTCAAGAAGGTAAGAAATATAATCTTCACGACAGTTGGCGATCTGAATGGAACGGATATTATTCTAATCCATCACACGGAAATAATAAATATGGTTATAATAATAATAATAATCATCATCATCAGCATCATCATCATCAACAACAACAACAACATCCAGATTATGATACGAATTTTTAACATTGATAACACTAAATTGTTATCTCTGTAATTTTTAAGTTAATTTATTCGTATATGTACAGTAAGTATTTAAAATCGTATACCGTTACGCTTATTAAATTTTTGCTTGAAAATTGTTGATACAGTATGTTTAAAATGAAAAAAATCTAGAAATAAATACATTAGTATACGTTTATTACGTATTTAATGAGTTTTAATTAAAAGGATTAATTATAACAAGTTTAATATCCGTTAAAGTAAGAATAATACAAAATACACTTGTTTAAAAAATACATATCTATTAATATACTTTGAATATTAAACAATTTCGATTTGATATTTTATTGTATGAAAATTTTCAACTGAAAGTCATCACTGACTAGAAATGTTAAAATAAATATGCATTTTCGTTAAAATAATAATAAAATATATGTAGAGTGTATAAAAGTACTGGACATACCTTAAAAAACTATTAATTAATCGAAGGAAATGTGTATTATTGTTTAAAAGCACGGAGTGTATGTACGATGCACCATCCTCTTCGAAATCCACCGTTAGACTGGTTCATTGTCCTCTGTGAGATTCGCTTTTATTGAATGTTGTTTATATGACTTTCCTTATATGGTACACATAGATAACATAAATATAATATTCGTAATAAATAGAATTTTCTTTTAAGCCAGTCTAACGGTGGACTCCGAGGGGGAACAGTACGTAGAACTTACACACCGTATTTCTAGAATAAAATATATATTTTTTTTGAATTAATTAACAATCATTTAAGATATATCGAACATTCTAATGTTCTCTACTTATATTTTTGATATTTTTAACGTTTTTGGCCATTGACTGATGCAACCTCTGACGAAAATTTTTTAATTGTTTTTATCCTAAAAAATACTATATCAATAGTTTTCAAGCAAAAATCTAATAAGCGTAACGGTGTACGATTTTAAGTAACACTCACTGTATTTTTTTTGGACGATCATTGGCTTCGGTGTTTAGGTATAATCGATATAATGCAATACACGTTAAAATAAACAAGAATTACGAATTTATACAAGAAGAACATATAAAAGAAAAAGAAAAAAAATGATTAACATTATTTTAAAAAGTTTAAAAAGTTTAAAAACATTTTTTCTTTTTATATGTACTGCGATTAATATTAACACAAAAGATATAACCGTAAAATATAATTAAAAGAATTAAATTCGTTTACTCTAGTCAAGAAATATAAAATAATACGTTATCTTAATTTTTGTAACTATTAAAATAATTTGAAAAATGAGGTATATGCTTTATCTTAAAGTATAAAAAAATTCTTAAACAAAAATCACATATTTCTTACATTCCATTCGATAGACAATACTTACGAAATACCTAATCTTTATTATATGTGGAATAATAAAGAATCAGAAAAGAGAGAGGTAGTAATGGAAGTAAAGATGAGGAACCTTATTTATTTTGCAAACGATGGCCACAATCTATCTGGTAATGATAGACTCATAAATGTTGAATTCTTTGATTCTTTTCGTGTTTCTATTTGGTGTCGAAGTAAGCATAAGAGCTTTTGATATAAAAACGATCGCCTAGACAACACATAAAGAAGAATTATAAATAATTTGCTATTATTTCTCATAAAATAAAATAGAGAAATATATTATTGAAACAATTACCTATTAGCAGGTTTACAAATCGTCAAATGATCCTGTGGAATTTCAAAAAATTCTCCTACTCCAGGATCTGCGAAAAAATAATTTGTTTATATAAGAAATGTTAAAGAAATGTTTTTTCTTTACATTTATTATAGTTTAAAAAAACTCACCTGCTGAGTCAGGTGTGACAAATTGGAATGAAAGTTTTAAAGCAGTTACCAGGGTAGATTTAGTTTCACTGAAACTCACTATATTCATAGGATAATCTTTTAACATCTCAAGAAAATCTTTGTGCAATCCAAGAAGATGCGGTGATTCTGTAGAATATAAAATACAACGTATAAAAATTAACTGCTATGCTCTTTTATATGTAATATTTATATTGTTCTTAAAATAGTTATTTATAGATATATACATACCTTCTCGTAATTCCTGCACCTCTATAGATGGCCATACAAGCATTTGTGTTGCTTGCGTTAATGCAGCTATGTGCGAACCGCGATGCGGAGTACTATAAAATACTATGCCGCGTGTATTTTTACATATATTATGTTTATCTCCAGTTTTCCATTCTATAAGTTACGATAAATGAATATTTGCTTATTTATTCTTTATTTTTATTCACTACTGACCTTCGACGAGCATTTTTTTAACTAACAAACCACCCATTGAATGACACACCCATATTATTGGTCGTTTTCCAACATCTGCTATCAATAATTTATTAATATATTCATTACTTCTATCGCTGATGGTACTCCTAGAAAAAAATAAGTAAAGTAAAAAACATTTAAATATATTTATATATAAAGATATTTCATTATTATTTACTTCAAGCTCTCTATTGGACACAAAGGCGTCCACATTGATAAATTGGTGTCATAATTAACACCGAGTATTCGAAGATATGGTACATCCCGAGGCAACCAATCCATCGGCCAACATTGTGTTCTACAAATTTTATCTTGCTCCGAATTTTTCATGCAAGCGTCGTCCCTACAAATTTTTATTTTTAAATAAAAATGACTATATGATGATCGATATATATTAAAGTATATTACCCTTTACAAGTAAATGGACCAGTTGCTTGATAATTAACATTAATAGGACAATCATCGAGTATCACCTCGTAATCTCTGCCTAATTTTTTCCATGCACGCATTTGCAAATCGTAAGCCAAATCTTTGAAAAATTCTTGTGGATAATCTTTGATCAATGCAGAGAGTTCACTGCTCTGATTTTCTATGTTAATAGGATCTATAATTATTGCATAAAAAAATCATCCATATTACGTAAATTGACATACAATATATTTTTCTTTTTAAATTAATTATCCATACCAGTGACAGACCTTCGCATTTAATTGCATCATCTTTAATAATGTCTCTCTGTCTCCACGTTATAAATACACCGCCAAGCAAACCATGTAAAAATACAACGTCCAGTTTCGATGGTGTGTCAGTTCTATGCAATGGATGAAGAAGGTATACGTGTCTGGGATATTTAATATGCTTATTTTTATCTATGTCTAAGTTTGCTAATGCACATCCTGCAGGTACCGATAATCTTATGTCTTTGTTCTTAGACCATGCTACTAATATACCAAACCATCCTAAAAATAATTAATTATATTTGATGTTATTATCAGTGATTAAAAAAATATATATTTTGTATATTTTAATAACGTCCAACCTGATCGGAAAAAATCATCTAAATATTCTGTGTGAAGCGATATATTAGAAAGTATGTTGGCAAGAATTGTACACATTTCGATATTATTGCTGAAGATTTTGTAAATTAACATTAGTATCTCCAGACCACCAGCATTCACAATATCTTTAAAAAAGAAATACACGTATTAGAAGAATATAGTAAACCAAAAATGTAGATTATTTACTGAGATTAATCAATTGATTAAATTCTTTATACCTTTACTATATTGTTCGAGGGAAGAATGATGATAAATTGCTTGGACACAGTTTTGAAGTAATTCTTCATTCCATATTATTGTCGGAGGAACTGCTAAACCCATACTTGTTAAATCATGTTCAAACATTAAACCATCCTACGACATATTATATATTTCATTATAGATTTATTATTCTTATTTTAAATTTGAAACTTTTACCTACCCTAAATAAATTTCCAAACTTTTTATAAAGAAATTGTGTCAGACATGGATGTAATTTGTCGCACAATGAATTTAAATGTAACAACATGTTATGCACTTTCTCAATGACATCCTGTAAAAATAATTTATATTAGATATTAATTATAAGTGTTTATGCAAGCTATGTACAAAAAATATTACTGGTTTTAGTAGCCCATGTTAAGCTAATATTATATACAATTTACATACATGCAATTTATATTCCATATGAAAATAAGGTGGTACTAAGAAAAAGCGTTGATCAACATTGGGTGTACGTGCAAGAGCAATAGCTGTCCTAGCATCTAACATCTGTGCCATATTTCGATAATGCCAATCTAAAAATCATTTTAATATTATATCAATTTTTCTTGATAAAATATTAATATTTCTTGCTTATTATTCACCGATGCTACTTATACACTGATTTATATTATTTAATCTATGTTATTAACGTTTATCTACCTTCTAAATCACTTAAAAAACATAAAGCTGTCGCAGCCCTTATTCTTTCATGTTCATCACCAAAACGAGCAACGTTTAACAATCTATAAGCTAATTTTTGATTTAACATTTTCCATCTCTCCGCTATAATATCAACCATGATGGTTACAATATTAGTTACATTATAATTAAATCTAGCTATGACATTTGTTATATCGTGATTAACTGCTGATTGTCTTTCTGACACATATTGATTTTTCTCATTGTGAAATGTAAATATATCTAAAATGAAATATTACAGTATAATAATTGATAGAAATTTATTAAATGTCCAATTGTTACCTTTATATTGAGGTTTATCTACGTATATATATGATTTATGTGCTTTCTCTAAATTAAGAATATCTGTTGTTACAGTTGTTCGAAGGATCTTTGATGTCTGTCGCAGTTGATATAAAAACCAGCAGCCTCTATATAAAACATGTATAAATATAATTAATAACATTTAATTATTTCATAACATGTTAACTTAACCTATAGACAGTCAAAAATACATACCCTATAAACACCATGCAGGTACCACTTGACTTTAAATAATATAAACATTTTTTGTAAGTTCTTACACGCATTTTACTAAAATAATTATTAAATCTAATATTTTTTAAATATTATTCCAAGAGATTGAATAGGTAATGGTATTTTCAGTTTGGTATCGTTGATTATAAATTTTCGAAGTTATACCTGTGTAATAAAACAGACAAATAATTAGTAATATAAAATGTAGTATATATGTTATAAATCAAAATAATCAAGTCACTATTATGATTTAAAATTGATACTGTACGTCCAATTAATATTCTTGCAAATAATTAGAATAAACAAAATAGTATTAGTAAAATTAACCTTAACGTTAATGTAAGTAAATATAAAAGTTCATAATTCGGTGGTGCAATGAATGACGTGTCCAAATTCCATTCTGTTTTGGGATGTGTCATTTTATTTACGTGCATGTAGTGTGTAAGCATACATAGATGTAATGCAATATGTTATTTTTTCTTTTTTAGAGATGATGTATAAATAATTGTTACGATATGGCACCACTCACAGATTTATTGTCATGTAGTATTATTGGTAAGTTTTTAATATAATGTGCATGAACATATATGCAAGATTTTTAATATTTATAATTTAAGTAAATTATTTTTGTAGAAAAAGACCATAATGGAGATATACTTTGGACATGGTCATATCCTACAGTTTCAGAATCACAAAAAACTATTGTCAAAAGAAAATGTAATTTAGGACTTGAACATAACTCTCCACAAACATTTATTTGGGCCCGACATGGTCAAACATGGTTTTATTTACATTGTAGTGAAGTATTCGATTCTGACAGATTACCCAAGGTACAAAAATAAAAAAATATGTAGACATACATTAAAAATGTATGATAAATCGATGGATTATTTAATTTTTTAGGTTAAACAATTTGCATTAGTTTTATTCGCAAAAGACTTCAATCCACAAAAATATGAAGTACTCTCACGCGTTTTCAGTAAAATGTATTGCAAGACTGGTAAGCCTACTGAGATTTTACAGTTATATCTTTCGGTCTTTACTAAGGGATCATGCTCAACACAAGAGAATGGAACTTTTGTGTCCGATGATTTTAGCAGTCGTACGACAATTAATACCAATGTTAGGGAATTAATAAAAACGTTTGAATTAGAAACGATTTTAATATATACCGCTCTATTGTTAAAGAGAAGAATTGTAATTTATCATCACAGTTTAGAACAATTGCTTAAATGGATGAAAACTTTTCCTGCTTTAATGAAACATCGTAAAGTTGAAGAAAATTTATTTCCATGGATTGAGCTGGTTAATGACGAGATACTTGATTTAAAGGTATATGCGATGAAAAAGATTATTGTTTTTTAATGATTTAAATATTGAAAATAAATAAAATGACTTTACAGAAGCAATCATACTATGTAGCTGGATGTAGAAACAGTGCAATTTCTGCAAGGACAGATCTATACGATTTATTAGTTAATATACCAGCCAGAGAAATTACTGTTGCTCCACATGCAAAAGGTAGAGAGCAAATTACTTTAAATTTCTTTTTACAATAGAATTGTATTGTAATTTTTGTTTCGCAGAGAGTTTAACAATGACAAAAACGCATAAGGAAATAGCATTGTTTATGGTACAGTTATGCGAAAATCAAAGCTGTACAGAATTACAAATAATATCTGAGATCAATGAGAAAACAAAAGATTTGTTAAATCAATTAACGTCTTTAGCTACCACTGAAACACCAGATGGAAAAAAAATGGTCTCTATTCAGGCATTCAAAGAAAAAGATTTACCACAAGCTGTCGAAAGCTTTTTAATTAATCTAGCAATCGCTGAAAATTTATTTATGTTGTAAAATATATTTTTTGTATCCGAGTTATGTGGACTTGTTGCGCAATCGTTCGAATAGAATGAACAAATTCCTAATGCAACTATTAAATACAATAAATGTTATAACTTACGCGCGGATGGTGGATGTTCCGTTTAAAACGAAGAAGTATTTAGAAATTATAATGATTTTCCAAGGATATCGAAATAAATTATCTAACAATAAAACTATTAATACGAAGGATGCAGTTTTGCTTTGTTCACTTACTTTGTTTAATTGCGCGCCTACATTTTAGTTTTAATAGCCCGCGATAATTTGAAATTCTTTGACAAAGATGACGCGCTTTGATAACGCGCGAAGATTTGAAATTGTTAGAAATGAATAGCGTTTTACGCATGCGTATAATATTATGTTGAATTTTTTTTCTAAATTAATTGATAATTAAACAAATTGATAGCCACTGCGATCGGAGACAAAGTTTATAATAAACAAGGATTAATAATATATTTTTTAATCAAAGACTTATTACACAAGCACTTTTAGTATACAAGATTTATACGCATAATTCAGTTGTTATGAACGAACTCGTATTTGTTATTTATTCCAAATATTTTATGCGTATTTCTCTGGATACACACTCATATATTTACAAAAATATATAAAATATATTAATATCTAAAACATTTCCAACAGACATATATAGAAACGTTTTCTATCATGTAAATATTCGAAGTGCAGTAATAGTAAACAATTTATAGTTATATTATTTTTTAATTTAAAAACAATTTTTTAGATAGTGTCGCCTGCTTACTAATATTTCATAATACTGACGAAAATGATGATCGATCAATCATATAAATAACAAGAATAATAATTAATTAATGATAGTAAATTAAAGATTCTAATTATATTATCGAATTGAAACTGTTAATTGCTGTTTATCACTTTCAATCAGTTTTTAATATTGTCTTCCTATCATTTCTTTTTTTTTCTAGTAATGAAGACAGATCAAAAACTGGTTATAGAAATCCTTCTATTAAAAACGTTTCTTTTAACGACCATCTCTGAAGAACTTTCAAAAAGAACTTCTATGAAAAAGTTAAATTAATTTCTGGAGAGTTTCGATGATTCCTTATTTCCAGTGACTTGTTCAAGTTCAAGACCGTCGTATTCAGTACCTCCGGCATTATCATAATACGCATAATCATAATCATTCTTTTTTCCTGACTTTGGGCGAACAGTTGTACTGCTGATAAATCTGGTAGTGGATGTGAAAGGTCTAGCCGAACCGCTGACGTAAGTGCTACTTCGAGGAGTAGTATTTATTGACGATGGCTTTTGTGTATTACTATTGAAACTGCTTGGATTATACGTGGTAGCACTAGCTTGTCTCCTGCTGAAAAGAGAAAGTTTGAATAATGTAATCAAACGAGATGACATCAATAAAAATACATATTCTTTAATTGTATAATAAATAGAGGCACGTGTAAACCTACCTAGGAACTGGCGTCGTAGATCTAGATGTCTCAGCCAAATGATTTATACTAGCAGGACTGAAACCTATACCTACTGAAGCTCTTCCAAAATCATAATTATCTGTACTGGTTTCAACGTAATATTTGTTACTGTTTGAGCTTTCGTAATTGTTGTACTGCGTAACCTTTTTTGACGTTTTCGTGCTGTCATAATGTTGAGTAGAAGATTTGATTGCCTGATCGTTCTTTTCATAATACTGATTGTTATCAGATGATTGTTGACTGTTGTAGCGATCGTTGCTGCGAGGAACCGATTGAGCTGGACTGTTGTCAGTGTGAACATATTTCTTCGTAGGTGGACTATAAGTAGTTGGAGCATAACTGTTTCCGGCATAATTTGTGAAGTATTTCGAAGTGGTCTGACTTATTTCTGATGTAGTGGAACCATGTCCATTTCTGTATTGTTCGTTGGCACTGCTGTAATTATTGTCATAGACTGTAGGAGCGATGGTTGTTGATTGACGGTATCCTCCACCATTACCGTTACCACGTTGAACGTTATAATTTTTCTGATAATTTGTATAATCACTCGTCTGATAATTCGTGCTAGGCAATACAGTACTGGACTGGGTGAACTGTCCAACATTATAGGGTTGATATCCATTTCTGTTGCCATTACTATTGTAATTTGTAGTCCTTAATGTAGTACTAGGTGTATAAGACCCTGAATTATCCTGATTATAATTGTTGTTCGTGTTGTAAGTATTATAAACCGTTGACCTGGCGGTAGAACTCGATGGTTGGTAACTGCTGTAAGAATCTTGGAAATTCGTATTGGGTCGATAAGTCGAGGACGCGGTTACGGTATATTTTTGAATATTTTGATTTCTGTTATAGTTCTCTTGAGGTCTACTCGTGGAAGATGAACCGGAACTAGTTGATCGTTGATTGTAATTGTTGTTGCCAAAATTTCCATTATAATTATTCTGACTATTGTAAGTTGGTGGTACAGCCGTGCTCGATATAGGATAATCATTAGTGTTTCCGTTGTATGGTTGCTTCCTACTCACCTTCCTAATACCTGTTTTCTTTTTCTCTGTGGTCACTGTTTCATCTTTGTAAGATCTTTCGTTATCATAATTATCTTCCTTATTTGTTCTTTGATTGTAAAAACCAACTTTGCTGCTACCATGTAGAACTTCTCGATTATTGTTATTATTATTGGTGTTATAATTAGTAGAAGAAACTCTACTAAGTGCGTTTGCTGATGAACGCACTGGATCATTACTTTCACTTCGTTGAAGATTATCCTGAGGTTCATCATCGGTGCGTATCGTATCGTAATGCGGAGACTCCAATCCTGAACCAAGTCTGTATAAATCAAAGTTATCGCTAGCGTAATAAAGAGTAGCAGCTTCACAGTCTACGTCATACCAATCAGCGCATGTTTGACTCTCCTGATCGAAAGCAGTATCATTGGGACACAGGAATCTGAACAAAATGCATAATTTTATTTAAATGTTCAAAAAAAAAAAAAAAAATAAAATGATAACAAAACTCACTTGTAATCCTGAATACTACCAGATACAGAAACGCAAACGTGAAATACTTGGCAATCGGTTTCAGGATCAGCATAATAACTTCCAACAATTTTATTGCGACACGTAAAGGCCGTTTCCGGCATGTATTGCTGAGAATATCTTGGTGGAGGTCGTTGAAGAGCCAAAGTTGTGCTCCATAATATAACCACTGAAATCCGATGAAAGATTGATTAACTAAACGCATCCATTTTTTAAAGTTTATATTCATTGTTAAATATGTTAAATTGTTTTTTATTCGTAAAAAGATTAACGACAAGATAGTTTCAACCGGATGCATATGTATCCTTCCACTTGTAGAGTTAGAAAACACAAGTATCCAAGCACGCACGATCGTGATATTAAACGGCTGGCTAATTTTCCGTCCTCGTTATTAATGGGAACAAATTTTATATATGGTAAAACATTTTTATGAAAACTTTAGCTTGTACAATAATTTATAACAAGACAATGAGTCTCAATTAATATCAATACAAATTGTCACGACAAATTATAAATTAAATATCCTATAAATATATAAATAACGAATAAATGGTCTAGAAGAAAAATATAAAGTGATCAAAATATTTTTGAGAACTTAGAACGTACCCGATAATACTAGAAGACATGGTTCTAAAGACTTCATGATCGTTTTAGTTGAACTCTTGTATTAGGTGAAGATTTAAGCTGTCTAGGATCACCTTCGTGAAGGAACTCTTCAAGACGACTGAGGTCTTGCCAAGGAAGCTCTGTGACGTAGATGTGCGCAACTTTCTGAGAGGATGGGGTATCAGGGCCTGGAGGATGCTAGTAGTAGGGGCCTCAGGCCCAAGAGAGAATGTACGCGTATGTATATACGTACATAAGGGGGAAGAAGAAGAAAAAAGAGAAGAAGAAGACGTAACATAGTGTTACGTCATACTACGAAGCTTATCCACTAGGAATAGCACGAGCAGGGAGCTCATCTGCGCGATCAAAGCGCTCATTCTAAATGCGCGTTTCTGCCATTCTCTATAGTAAAGTATCATTTTTTTTCCTCCTTTTATTAATCGCTTGAAGCGGATATTATTGGATTTTATCGAATAAGAATGTCGAGACTTTCAGCAAGAAGATTCAATTTTGTTATTTTCATAAAAAAAAATGTTACATTGCAACTTGCACTTTGGTAAATGCATTTGAAATCATCGAAGTACAGATAGAGTGTAATTCAGTAGTCTAATCCTCATCTTAATAGAGATGTGTACCTTGGCAATTAACATCGTATTAGACTTCGAAAACTGAAAGACCACAGGGAATAAGACGACTCCGTGTATATACTTTGATTTGTGGTTACGTTTAGTGTCTAGGAAAGATCGAGGTCGTACCACGAGAATTGAAATTGTGCAATCCTAAGATCTGCTACGCATCCTGTAACATACCATCATCAATCCGATCTAAAGCGTTTAAGGAAAGAAGAAATAGATTTCTTTTTGGTATTTGAAAAACCTTGTTCGATAGTTGTTCTCTTTAGAAAACAAGATGATACATTTGTCGTCAAGCTTATCAATTTATATTTTTTTGTCATTCCCTTATTAACCATTAACACCATTAGAGATAGAAAGAGATATTGCGTAACGGTTACATGTTACTCATAACGGTTAATTAACGAGTAAGAGTATTATATTTTTCAATGACCGTCGAGACGTCTATTATACTTGGGATGAGCTCGACTCGAGGAATCTTCTCAGCCTTGGAGGGCGAAAGTTGTCTTTGAAGCAGGTCCCCCATCGTAGATGGTACGATATTTGCACTTACAACCGTCTACGTCTATTTACAAGTATCCATAGGTATCCTCTGACTTACACCAACATAAGCACTGACATAGTAGGTTTAATGTGTGGGTGTAAGGATTTCGATGAAGATTCTTTTAGGTCTTCGTGTCGCGGTATTTGCAAACGAGAATCGCCTTTATGGAGAAAGGAAGGTCTCTTCAATGATCACGAATAGCAGTTTTCAGTTGTTAGTCTGGTATTTTTTCGAGAATCCTTTAACTGATTATTAGAAGGATATCTGAGAAAGAAATAATCTTTTGTTAAAAATGTTATAGATGCATAGATTTTTGTTTTTTTTTTCTACAAATTTGATAAGGAATAAAAGTAATGTTAAGTTATAGTTAGTGAGTCGTGACAATTACCATAGCGACTCCTAATCGAATCCTTTGGGAGAAAGCTAGCAGTAAGGTCAGAGGTTTACGAAGTGTCTTCCCGCGATGAAATCTCTACCAATAGGGATAGCCGAGTTGAAAATCAACGTCGACCTCTCCTTGTCTCTTTGAACTTACGCTCTTCTTCTTATTTTTCTAGTCTAAGAGATATTGTTCTATTAATTAATATATGATTGGAAAAGAACTTGACTATTATCTCTTTTTCTCTTTTTTTTTTAATCACGAACGGATGCATGGTTATAGTGTCCCCAACAAAGTTTCTTGCTCAAGCGGATGCTAAAAAGGTGCTAAACGTATGCGAAATACATCGTACTTCCGTCAATTAATTTTGATTCGAGATATACGCGTATACATGTCAGTGTTGTGTAGCATCGTTTAATAAACGAGCAAGAGAGTTCCTATATTCCTCTCTGTCTTTTTTCCTTGGCTCATCTTCCATTAACACGGTGAAAGTGCAAGAATTTTCTTGGCCTTCCGTGTGTCACTTGAATGATGTTTACCGCAATAATATTTCTTCTCTCTAAGAGAAAAGGACAATTTTTGTTATCTTCTTTTTTCCTTTTACAGAGATAAATACGTAGGCGTGGTTCAATTTAATACTTTCCACAACAGTGCGCGCCTCTTTCAAGTGTAATTTGAACTTTGAAAAATTTCTTTTATACAAAAACAATAAATTACAATCTTATGATCCTGACCTACGTGACTGCAACATCACATATATGGCATGTACTTTAACGATCTTTTACTCGTTACAGTCAACGTTCGTTGGAGAAAGCATGAAGAAATTCTTCAAATCTTCTTACATATGTCCTCAATCAAACGATTTATATTCTTTCCGGTTTTCCTTTCATCGACCCACGCAAGTTAAACTCTGTCGTATATCTTAGATATTACGTGAGCATATTTGGAATGAAACTTTTAATATGTGACTGAATAATACATTATTTAATAAACCTGGAGAATGTATAAATATATTCCATTATTTTTCATCAGAAATTATCTTTTAATATGAGATATTTCATGATATCAAATTGACTTCATTTTTCTTTCACGAAATATTAATTGAAAAAATTAAAAAAATATTCAAGTATATCCTTATACCAGAATTATTGAAGCAAACGTTCTTTGCAAAACGAACCGATAAATTCATGAAAGAGAGAAGAACGATTCTAAAAGGAGATCGTTGTTACATGGTGATGGTGATGGAGGAGGAGGAGGTGGGAGAACGGATGAAGAGGGTTTCTTCTCGTTTCCACCATGTGAGAAAGTGAAAGCAAGAACCGAGTGTATACCAAAGATGAGACAAGATGTACACCGTGCCGTCTTCGAGCAGCAGCACGATCCAACGTGAGTCTCGTTCCTCCTGATTCAGAATATAATCGGAGATCGTTCAACTTATTTTTCCCTTCTTCAATTTTTATCTTTCTTTCCATTGCTCGTGACATCCCTTATTTGTTTTCTCATTATTTATTACTTCTGTTCTGCCATTTATCATTTTAATTAGACTCGCTAGAAATTCATTCAATTCTAATTCGTTAAATTTGGATTTAATCTGAAAATGAATATAATGTTAATGGATATTAATAAAAATTAAAAAAAAAAAACAAATATGATATATAGAAGAATTGTGAATAAATAAAATCAGATAATAATATGATATTACCTTTTATAAAGAATAAAGATAATTGCAATTGATGTCCTTGCTCTTTGCCATTAGCAATGCGCAATTATTAGATCAACGTACAAATAAAGATTTATTCCTCATTATCAATATTATTTGTCGTCATTTATTATATTATCAATTTTTCTGAAAATAGAATTTCCCTTGAAGAAGAGATTATCGTTGTGATTTTATTCTTCATCGAGAATCGCAAGGTCTCTTCTTGTCAATAAGAGAAGCAATAAAAAATAAAATAAAAAGAAAAGAAAGAGAGAAAAAACTAGAACCTGAATTATATACCATCTAGAGAGATTTCGTAATGTCCTGTCATACGTGCAGAGAACGTTAAAACAAGCAGAAGAAAAAAAAAATGCTCAGATGCTTAAAATAGTCGACGGAGTCGAAAGCTTTCCACGGTCTATGCTCTGACGGTTCAAAGTGAACGAGTGCTCGACCGTGAAACAAGGGGCGCTTAATTAAAAATTGTAATGGAGTGTTAACTCGGTCTATTCGATTTCTCTATTCTATAAGGTGATTGTCCTTTCGTTTTGGTTCATAAACTATATACGAATTTATCTATAATTTAAGTTAACTCCTGCATGAAGATCAAATGAATTCGATTTAACACTAATTCATGTATATTGTAAATTATGTCAAATGATTGGTTTTTAACAAAATTGATATTTGTTACAATTGAATATAGAAAAGTATAAATTTCGTATTAGTTTAAATAATAAATATATAAACTAATTTTTAAATAATAATTATAGTTAATGTGCAAAGTCAAATATAAAGTATCAATAAAATTGAAGGCAAAATTATAGAATTCTAAATAAAAAACACATCATTTGAGATTGGTCCTAATTTAATATTAAATTTATAGATAGAGAAAAAAATAAATATTCATTTTAAAGACGATTATTATTATACTAATGAGGAAGTAAACGCAAAAGAACGTTTATATGCTTCATTGAATATGGATCCTCCTCTTATTCGATACTCGTTTTCTCCTTCATTGATTTCAAACAACGGAACCCTGATTTTTCTATCTGTCATATCGATCTATATACTATACTAATATTTTCTATATACGCTATGACGATATTCCTTTGTATATGGTCATAGGCTATCACGAGGATGATGCTCCTTACGTTTCTGGATAGAACTTTCTCTCTTACGATGTTTTTCTTCGTAAAGTTTTCGACAAAACATCAAATTCCTCGACGGAATTTACGTTTGTAATATTTCAGCATGAAATTACGTAATAAACCTGTTTGTGCGTTGCGATGAGTTTACCTGGAAATACAATAAACATTTTTATTGGTCAAATATTTATAATACACATAGAGATAATATATATATATAAATATTATTTGAATATTTATTCATAAAATATAAGCGCGTATTTGCACGGATCTATTTATATCATAAGTTAAAAAATTTCATTTTCGATGCTATTTCTTCAAGGAGAAAAGTTGAAAGGGTTACGACCTGCACGTGCAATTCCCGTGAGAAATTCTTTTTTTTTTGTTGTTGTTGTTGTTATAAAAGGACCGGATGTATAGGCAAGTCTTCAGAGGTGGAGCCAAGAGGGACGTGCGTGGTTAATTAGCCGTGTGCCTTCAAGATAACAATGCCATGAACGGATTACGTGCTTGTTCGTTGCATCTTCCTTTAGATGATCATATAATATTGTTAGTCGATATTCAAAATATCTTTAATTAATTCATTAAATGTATAATTAATGATTATATTTAAAATAATGAACGTTTATTTAGAAAAT